TATATATATATATATATATATATATATATATATATAAATTGCACCTCCAGTTTCAGAGCCGTAGGTCGATTTCTTTGTGAATTACAGCGAAAAGACTAAGAACAATTTTGTGCTGGATTCTTGAGATATATCAAGTTATAGTGAAACTCTTCGCCATTTTAGTTTTGTGGGTTTTTCAGGCGGGGCAAAAAAAGCCCAAGTATGCACAAGGGCTTGGGTGCCCTTTCTGGCATGAGGTGGTGAGGGTAAGTGGTACAGAAGGAACAGAAGAATGGATCTTGCACCGCGAAGTCTCTGGGCCAAATTTGTGAAATGTTTTTTGCGACAAAAAATAAGCACCAGCTCGCTTGGCTCGTGCAAACAAATTGGGAGACAGCTGGTAGATCTTTTCCACTCTTGTAAAATGTTTAAAGCTGAAACCAAATAAAACGGAAAATTATTGCCACATCATATATCAGCAGTTCAACTTTGTGGCTTCTGAATGATCGAATGACTGACCTGGAGCAACTTACAAGTGGTCATGCAGTGCCGTGACAAAACTCCTTTCAACGCTGCATTTCTTTGTGTCTCATTTGATTTTGGTCCACCATGACAATTGCTGCTGGCTTCTCCTAGACCACTTTTGGGAGTTTTATCAGAATTTTGAAATGCAATGTTTCGCAGGATGGGCATGTGCTTCCTATTGCCACGCATTCAGGACAAATCAAATCAAACAAACCAAGTGTGGCTTTTATGTGGGTGCTGGCTTCCCCAGAAGTACGGGAGAAATAGATTTACGTATTTTCTTTAACTCACTAACGCTTCCTATTCCATCACTTTGAATTTCATTTTGAACTTGCGTGGCCCTCCCAAATATTCTCTTGTGAAACTACAATTATTTGGACCTATGCATCAACTTACATTGCTTGATAGCAGGCTAGTTTGCCGCGCATTTCATTTTTCAACTATGCCATGAGCAGCAGGCAGCTGACGTGCTGCTGTGTGTGATATTGACATCTTCCCGGCGAATGTTCATGTAGCACTGAAGAGTATTTCAGAAAGATGTTATAACCTGTGATAAAAGGAAATTGAACTGTTTTCGTAGCTAAAATAAGAGTGTGTGAGTGGGTGATTAGTGGGGGGTCAAAAGGGAAAGATTAGGAGAGTCCGTGGAGAGACGACATGGTGTATGTAAGAAGTTTACTTATGCTCAGAAACAAAAGTAATGTTTTAATTTGATTCACTGCTTCATTTTTTGTTTGTTTGTTTCATGCTCACAAAAATTTGTATTCCCAAATCAACGCACCAAACTGAGAAGTGGCAACGGAGGTTAATATTAGCTGCTCCTTGCAACAAAGACCAATTTACCATAGATTGTACCATTTAGCTTTTTTTTTCTTGGGTGGCTTTAGAAAGTCTCAGCCATTCTTAATTGGATCAAAGCGACCTTATTGTTTAATCTTAAAAACGAAAATCTTCAAAACTTTACAAAAGCCCACAAGTTCGCCATGCGTGAGGAGCTGGTACGCCATTCCAATTTTTCCCCATCTCGTTAACGGCTAAACTCCTTTTCCTGTTTGCGCATCCATATGGTTCAATGATGGTAATCCGCATTTCTCCGGCACACCTCTTTCCTGCAACTCATTTCTTTGTGGTGTCTATTTCTTTTTTGTTCATTTTTCACCCATTTATGAAAAATATTGTGTGCCGTTTTGCTTTGATAAATTGATGAGTACTTGGCCAAAGCAATCAATCTAGCTTTGTTTTCATTTGAATACAGTAACTTAATTTTATTAAACTTATACATCCTGTATTTTAAGAAAAAGGGAAAAAAAAGTATGTTTGAAAAAAATCAAAGATAAGTGGGCCATCCTCTTCTTTTGAAAGTAATGGGTGTTGTACTAAGTAATTTCTTCTTCCTGACACTTAGTATTAGGTGCACTAAGATTATGATGAAAAATACTAGGAGGAATCTGTATGCCATGTTAAAATATTTTCTTTTAATTGTATTGATTTATTTATCTTTTTTAGTGTTCTGTCCTCTTCTGCGGGTTTGCAAGAAGTGCAGATGCTTCTCACCACTATCAGATCCAATAAGGTCAGTCAGTGCCTTTTTGTGATTTTTATTTTATTATTTTTTTAAAATTATCGAGGCATTAGTTATGTTTAAATCTAGTCTAGCTTGAGTTTTAAGGTTAATTTGAACACTTATGCACTTTGTTTCAGATGGTTGACATTAATTCCAGACTGGCGGACACGGACCTTCTCAGTTGTTTCTTGCAGGAAGACTATAGGTAGGACACAAAATGCACAAAAAATGTATTCTGATACAGTTACTAGTTACCTGTTAAAAGGTATTTAGTTATGTAATCTGAATACAATGTTAAAGTAATGCAACTGGAAAACTCTTAGTTACTTTTGGATTACTCCATACCAAAAATTCAAACAAACCAACAAAAAATCTATATAATAGATATCAACATATATATATATATATATATATATATATATATTTCTTTTTTTTTTTTTTTTTTTTGAAATAGTATTCTGGTCTTTTCTGTCTTCCGGCTGTTTCTTGTGCATGTTTTGATAATGCTGGAGGAAGCTTGAGCACCTGCATTTCAAATCCAAAGCACAAGAACTGTGATGCTGGTGTGCTAACCGCTTGTGCACCACACTGCAGACAGGGTTACAGGATATTCCATGCCAAATCACCCATTTTGTTGAACCAAGCGGATTTTGATTTTCATGAAATTTGCTGGGCTTTTTGATAGTGATGGCACAATACCAAATCTCAAATTGTTGGTCAATCGGAGCAGGGGTTTGGGAGCTACGGCCCACCGAATCTTAATTAGTTGACGTTATCGTGGCAATTTTAATATCCTGATATTTCATTACAAGCCCAGAATGGCCTGGGTATCTGGCCTGAGTGAGATCAGCTTTGCCGATTCGTGAAAGGCCACAATCTTAGTCTTTTCCTTGACAAGTGTTTCATCTTCTCACCCTGATTCAAAACTTCCACCTTAAACAATGAAATTAGATTTTGTTCCTCCCCCTGGACAGTATTATTGTGAACACAATACAGCAGGGCTTCTCAAATAGTGGGGCGCGTCCCCCTGGGGGGGCGCAAAGGTCCGTCAAGGGGGGCGCGTTTGACCTCGGGGAACATGCTTTTATTTTTATTTATTTATTTATTTATTTATTTTGCGGTCCTAGAATAAAGTGCAATTGCACCTCCACTACATTAGGGGGCAGTGGCGCTCTCATTGGCAGAGTATGCGCAGGGAGCATTCGCTCGGTGTTTTGTTTGCACTGAGCATGCGCGCTTTGCACACAGAGTATGAGTATGAAGCTTGGACACGAAGTCAACAGGCAGAGAGAGATGGAGATAGAGACAAACGAAAGTCTCCCGAAAGCCAAGATGAGGAAATATGAGACAGTGTATGTAGCGCTTGGCTTCACTGTGACTACGGTGGAAGACGAGGAAAGACCTCATACTGTGTGCTTACTGTGTCTAAAAATATTGGCAGCGGACAGCATGGAGCCAAATAAATTAAGGTGTCACTTAAAGACATTACACCCCAATCACGCTGATGAACCACTTGTTCGTGCCGAATATTGCCAACAATCATCCCGCTTTGTGACTGCTACTTGTAGCCATTAATCCAGACATCATCTTTGATTAAAAAAAAAAATCAGCACAAATTATTTTATATATTTTTGTTTTGCAGGTTGGTTTTTTTTTTTTTTTTTTTTAAATATTGTGCTCGTGAGTGAATGTTGGTGATCAGTTTGAATGCATTATTATTTATTGATTTTATGTAATTTTATTTGTCAGTATCGTATGGTGTGACATGGTCAGTCAAAAAATGTTTATAGTTTAACGATTTAATTTTATTTTTTGAATTTTAAATGCACTTTAAATTTTTTCTGTTACAGTTACTAAAGCTATTCTTTGTTGTAAGTTGGTCCATATTTCTTTCTTTTTATTCTCTTATACGTTAATAAGGATACAGTGTTATGCAAAGGTATACTTAAAACAATTTTATAGACAAATGATACTATTTATAGTAGCACGGGGGGCGCTAGATGTTTTCTTCTTCCTCGGGGGGCATGACAGAAAGTAATTGAGAACCACTACAATACAGTAATTTACTTTTTTTTTTTTTCCATCAATCAAATTTCTCTATTCACACACTTGAACAACACAATGCATCAAAATCTAAAGCAGCAGACACAAGTTAGACTTCACTGCTAAAGCTATCTATTGACCCCAAGAGCACGTGATTGTAGTCGATAATATCGGTGGACCAGCCCAGACACATTATTGTTAGCATATGCCAATACGAGCGCCCTGAAATAATGAATCTAATCAATAGCGATGTTTCTTTCAAGTCATGATGTTACAACACTGACAGGTTTTGTTTGTGTTCAGCATTTTGCTTGGGGAAGTTCTTTTCTTTTTCTTCTTCTCGTGGACAAATGACGACTTACCACTATCAATTTGTTTATACATTACTATGATCGCTTAAACGTTAATTACACTTTCACAACGGGGGGTGGGGGTAGGGGTGGGGTTACTCAATGTCCCACAACAGCCACACGCAGTTTTGCGAGGGAGCCAATGACCAAATTACAAAAGTGTTACAACCAAAAATACATGAATCAATAGCTTCAGTTACTTCACCACCATCATACCTGTTGCTAAGTCTTATTTAAAGCATTGGAGGCCTACTGTTTATTTAGGTAGGCATTTGCCCAGATGTCAAGTTGTTTTTTTGGGCCTGACCGATTGTACAGCGCAAGTGGAAAGTATTCACAGTGCTTCACTTTTTCCACATGTTGTTGCGTTACAGCCTTATTCTATAATTGAACAAAGTTATTTCCCCCTCAAAACTTGACACATAGACAAAATACAGGACGGATGAAATTCTGCTGCTCTAAAGTACACATCGGCCTCCATCATCTGCAAATGCAATAAGGTTGGAACCGCGGGCATTCAGCTGGCCGGCCATCAAAATTGAGCAATTGGAGGCGAAGAACCTTTAGTAAGAAGGTGACAGAGAACCTGATGGTGACTGTCAGAGCTCCGGTGTCCTTGGTGAAAAGAGGAGAACCATGATGAAGGACAAATTGTCTCTGGAGCACTCTACCAAATAAGCATGCAAAGTTGCCAGATGGAAGCCACTCCTTAGTAAAAAGGAAATGGCAGCCAAACTGGACTTTGTCTTCAAGGCACCTGAAAGACATTCATGGCTCTTTTTCATGAACTCGTGGTGGCCTTGCTTGGCCTCGGATTGTCGCTTTTTCCATGAGACTTTTTCTTGGCCAAGCGGTTAAAATGGAAGACTCACTGTCATCTGATTGGCCGGCAGCGATGCGCCATTAGCAACGCTGCTGCACGAGGCCGTTTCCTGGTTTTAGACGAGCGAGACGAAGCTGTCACAAAAGTACGGTATGTACAATAATCATAAGATAGTGTCTTGCAACAATGCTGAAAAATATGTACAGTTGGATGTTTACTAATGAATTAAATTTTCACGCTTGAGGTGAGCATTTTTGCGATTTGGCAGCCACCAGAGGGCTTCAGATGCCGCAAAGTGAAAGATGACAAGCTGTTGACTGGCAGGGCGGCCACATGAATGACAGTGAGCTCTTTATTCCAAATGAATGAACACTGGAGGCGAGCTAAATGTTCTGTTCGCAGAATCACTATCACACTTACTTCATTCCTGGTACATATAAAGTTGTAAATATGGTTCTCCGGTTCCATGTTAATGTAAAACACAAAATATGTGGACTGTATACAATGCAGTGGCAATTCATATTTTGAATAGCCGCAAAACAGTGGCCGGGACTCTCCACTCCAGAAAAGTTACGGCAGATCCTCACAAGCTGCGGATGTGCATGCTTGCACAGTTCACTTGATCCTGCCCCCATCACCTCTTGTCATGAAAAAGAAGCGAAGTCTGTGCAATGTAGTGCCACGTCATACGGAGTGATGTGTTGTGGGGCTGTTTGAGACCCGCGGAAAAGTGACATCATACAATGAGTGACAACATTTCCTTATCTGTTGGTAGAGAGATTAAATTCTTTGGCCTGAATACGAGATGTCATGTTTGGAAAAAACCAGGCACCACCTGGCCAATATTATCCCGACAGTGAAGTGTTGCGGTTGCAGCGTCATGCTGTTGGGGACATTTGTCAGTGGCAGGAATGTGGGAGACTACTCAGAATTGAAGAAAAGGTCAATGTCGCAATGTCCAGAGAGATCCTGGATGAGCACTTCCTTGATTGGCTCGAGCAGAGTGCAGACTTTAATCTGACTGAACATCTCTGGAGAGATCGGAAAATGGCTGTGCATAAACGCTCCCCATCCAATGTGATGAAGCGTGAGAGGTGCTGTCGAGAGATAAAATGCAAGATCTGCCAAGCTTGTGGCATCACACTCCCAAAAAATTGGAGGCCGTAATTATGTATGTGTGGTTTCTTACGTTCATTCATTTCTTTGTAAATGAATTTACAGATATTACAAAGACTTTTTTCATGTCGTCAA